TAACTAACACTCTTAAAGAATTTGATATTGAAGACAAGTTGGGAAAATTGTACTTGTCACCGATAATAGTTCCAACGTTGTTTAAACATAACATATATCTTGCGTTTACTACTATTTTAACTTAGTTATGGATGATGTTACTGAAAAATATGCTTTTCCCGATTTAGAAACGCTAATTAACGGCCCAGAAAAGTTTTTTTTGTAAAGTTTGTAAGATATATCTTATAGGGAAGTTTTTATTTCCACTGTTCAGGGAAAATAATTTTTTATTAGAAGAATGTAAAGCAATGTTACTTCAAAATCAAAGTGATAAAATATAGTGTTCTAATGATAAGCAGGAAATTATATAGTATAATAATTGTTTGACGCAGGTGCACACCGAATAGGCTTATTTAAATAAACCCACGCCACTATTTATATTAGGAACTCAAATATGTTTATTTCACAAAAGTTTACAAGAGAATGAAGAGAAAATTGTAATGTTGACAATTTAGAAATGTGTATTCAATTTATAAAACCAAAGTCTAATATGTTGTAGAAAAATAATACGAACAATTCAAATCAAACTAAAATAAGAAAGTAGTTTTCATTACATATTTCCAACACCTTCCCTTAATGAAAACTGGCCAACACCGAGCATTTTTGTCAATTTCATATGTGAAAATGGCTTTAAACATTTGGTTAGAATATCAGCCACATTTTCTGTAGACGGAGTGAATATCAATTTTATTAGGCCCTCTTCATATAGTTCACGAACATGATGAACACGTGTATCGATGTGTTTACTTCTCGCGTGACATACAGGATTTCGTACCAATTGTTGAGCACTTAGGTTGTCTCCATATATTTCTGTTCCATTATTACATAAATCTTCAAATCCAAGTTCTGTGAGTAAGTTTCTCAAATATATTGCTTCCTTTGACGCCGCAGATATAGCCATGTATTCTGCTTCCGTGCTGCTTAATGTCACTGTCTGTTTCTTCGATTCATATGATATTGCTGCACCTGCTAGAATAAATGTATATCCCGTATATGATCTGTCATCTGAGCTACTTGCCCAATCAGCATCTGCAAAGCCATATAATTTCCCATTAGACTTATAACAAATTTCGTAATCAATAGTGTTTGCCAAGTAGCGAAGGACATGTTTTGCTCCTTTAAGATGTTCCAAATGGGGGTTTTTATTAAACTGTGACAGCTGCATGAACAATATCAGGACGCGAGCAAATTCCAATATGCATCAAGGATCCTATAAGCGATTGATGCTCGGTCACATCGACTTTACTACAATTTGAACAATCTTGACAATTTTTATATTTTGATCCAGGATCCAAAGGTGTGCTACATTTTTTAATATTTCCATATATTGTTCTTTCAATAACTCTCTTATTATTTTTTTCTGAGATAAACTTATTCTGCCAGTTGATTCTTTTCTTTCGATCTCCATCCCCAAGAAAAAATGAACTGGACCTTTATCAACAATTTCAAAATTTTCCTTGAGAGCACATTTATTAGCATTCATCGTTTTCATATTAGAACATGCAAACATTATATCGTCCACGTATATTACAATAATATTATATTCACTTTCCGTATTCATCACACATACACATCTCTCAACAGTACAACGAGTAAAACCAATAATTTTCAATACTGTATCCAGTTTTTCGTTCCACATACGACCGGACTGTTTTAAACCATATATGGATTTTTTCAGTTTGCATACCAAATCAGGATTATTAGCATCCTCGAACCCTTTTGGTTGCTCCATATAAATATCTTCATCTATTCTGGCATTTAGATAAGCTGTTGTGACATCTATTTGGTGGACGAATAGCTTGTGTTCTACTGCCAAAGCTAAAACTGTCCATACCTCGTTACCGGGGAAAATGTTTCTGTCTAGTTTATGCCGTATTTATATCGATCACATTTACCCTCCTTATCTTTCTTAATTGTATATACCCATTTATTTTTCAGCACGGGTTCATTTTCTGGTTTTCTGACTAACTCCCATGTATCTTTTGACACTAGTGCTGAATATTCGTTTTCCACATTCTGTGAAATCTTTTGGGCATTCAACAATATCTTCCTTGCATACTACATTATTTAAACGTATTCTTTTTCCTGAACGTAGCACTCTACAATTACTGTCGTCCTCCGTTTCATTTTCGGGTCCAGCTTCGTTTATTTCTCGTGTATTATTGGAAGTTTCACATACAGGTATATACATTTGTTGATGGATTGGTTCTTCGGAAATTTTATTTTTTAAAAATTTTGAATTACTATCTTCTCTCCACCAGACTTTAGGAAAAATATCATACTCATAGCTATTTTCAATGGAATCCTCCATAAACTTGACATCTCGACTTTTGTACAATTTACCTGTTTTAATATCCAACAATTTATAAGCTTTTGAATCTGCCGAATAACCAGTCATGATACATTCGATACCTTTGGAGGCAAATTTTGACTTTCCTGGTCTCTTATTAAGACATCCGAATATCTTCAAATGCGATACTGTAGCCTTAATTCCGCTCCACATTTCAACTGTAGTTTTATCACATAGAGATTTGTTAGGACATCTATTTCTTATATATACAGCTTTATCTACAGCCTCACCCCATAAGTTTTCGTTTAAATTTGAATCAATTAGCATGCATCGTGCCATTTCGACTACGGTGCGATTGGCCCTTTCGGCTACGCCATTATGCTGTGGAGTATATTCAACAGTAAATTGCCTTTTTATACCAAGTTTCTCCAGATTAAATGAAAATTCGGAATTAAGATACTCTTTGCCATTATCGCTACGTAACACTTTCAATTTCTTTGAAGCCCGCCTTTCAGCCAGGGAAATAAAATTGGTGAAGGTTTTGTAAACATCACTTTTTTTCTTTATAAAAAAGACAAACATCATACTCCCGTCAATGAAGAGGACAAAATATCTGGATCCCCCTGCCGAAGTAACTTTCATTGCACCACAAACATCCGTATGAACTAATTCAAGAGGTTCTTTTGATCTGAATGTCGCCTCTTTAGGGAATGGTTGAACACAAATTTTGGCTTTTAAGCAAGATTTACATTCAAAATTCTTTGGCATTTTCACGGCATTCATTCCATGAACCATCCCCTTGTTTGATAAACCAGTTATATCTCTACCACTTAAGTGTCCCCACCGTCTGTGCCACTTCATGAAATTTGATTCCGAATACATACAATGTAGCATATTTTCCTTTGTTTCACAGATATACAGATCACCATTTCTATATCCAGTCAAAACGACACGTTTTTGAATATCTTTAACTTCAACATAATTGTCACCAAAATTAGCAATTTCTTTGTCTTCCGCTAACTTCGAAAATCTGGTACGAAAAGCACATCCTTTAAGTAAATAGTTTCTCCATTATTTGTCTCCATTATTATGTTATATACTCCCTCGGAAAATATGTGATAACCTCCGGCCAATTCAATGCGTTCCTTGTGATTTCGAAACATAATTTCATTTTTTCGTGTACAATACATGTGACAAGTTGCTCCGCTATCAAACACCCAGGTTTCACTTGAGAATTTATATGATATTGATCCATGCAACATTGCATTTGATCCAGAACTTATACTCCAGCAATCCCTTGCTATATGACCAAGTTTTCCGCATTTGAAACATTTGATTCTCATCAATTTCTTACCTTCTTCGGGTTCTTTCAGCCTTTTCTGCGAGTTCCTTGATGAAAACACTTCTTGGCTTTCTTCCAATCCGATTCTGGATGTTCTTCGTTCATATTCTTCAAGTAACTTGTTGTTTAATACTGGTAAAGATAGTAATGTGACTTTTGATTCCATCGCAACCACAAAACTTTCATAATCTTCCCGTAAACTGCTTAACAATATTATCACCAAGATTTCATCAGGAATATTGACTTCAGTTTCGCGAAGTTTGTTTCCTGCATCATTAAAAACCTTCAAATGATCATTCATTGTTTGACTTGCATTCATTTTTGTTGACAAGAGCCTTCTAAACAGCAATACCTTTGTTGATGGTCCTCGAGGTTGGAATTTTCCTTCGAGTTTTGACCATGCTTCCCTAGATATCACACAGTTTTTAACTAAACTAAGTTGATCGCTTTTCAGGCACTGGAATATTAAAGAAAGTGCCTTTTTATCTTTTCTATTCCACTCACTAAGCCCCACTTCATATTGAGGTTTCACAATTTCTCTAGAAACATAGCCCCAAAGATCTGAATGTATTAGAAGACTTTTCATATGAATTCGCCATCCATCATAATTATTTTCTTCCAATTTTTCAATATTTAAAGCTGCAGCCATATTCTTATGAATTCCTTAGTTCTTTGTGTGCAATGGCCCATAACCTTTGTCAGAGCAAAACGCAGGAGAAACACCACAATTTATATTAGGAACTCAAATATGTTTATTTCACAAAAGTTTACAAGAGAATGAAGAGAAAATTGTTATGTTGACAATATAGAAATGTGTATTCAATTTATAAAACCAAAGTCTACTATGTTGTAGAAAAATAATACGAACAATTCAAATCAAACTAAAATATTATATACAAATAAGAGAGTAAAGTAAAATTAAGGAAATATCCTGAAATAATAGCAAAGCCGTGCTGAGGTATATGCATAATAAAATTTTTATTCCAAGCTAAAAAAACTGTTTTGTTTTGGTATAACTCTTATATTATGTATTATTATTTTTATATTAGAATTATAAATATTGAATAACTTTTACTGTTTTCACTTTTCTGAAAATGGACTTCCAAATGAATGTTTAAATATTTAATTAATTTGTGATTTAAACCTGAAATTAATTGTAGTGACAAAAATATTTTATTCAAAGTTAATTAAAATAATATTGTAATATATGATTTTTTAATCCTTTAATTATATATTACCTTTATAAGGAAGTATTTCTTCCATACAAATACAATACAGTAACATATACGTTTTTTGTTTAATGTACATTTACTTTAATTAACATTACAGGTACATGATGGAAAAAATCTCAAGGGACGTTCAAATGACGCAAAAGCATCAGCTTGTCTTTATATTGCTTGCCGTCAGGAAGGAGTTCCTCGTACATTCAAGGAAATTTGCGCAGTTAGTAAAATAAGCAAAAAAGAAATAGGAAGGTGTTTCAAACTGACTCTTAAAGCTTTAGAAACCAGCGTGGATCTAATAACAACAGCAGACTTTATGTCAAGATTTTGTGCCAATCTTGGTGTGTTTTGGTTAATTTTTGTAGTTTGAAGATAATATTTTAAATCATTCTTCCTATCATTTTTAGACTTGCCAAATATGGTTCAACGTGCTGCCACGCACATAGCAAAGAAAGCCGTTGAAATGGATATCGTGCCAGGACGATCTCCAATATCCGTCGCTGCTGCTGCTATATATATGGCGTCCCAGGTAATAATTTATTATGTAACGTGAGTAATGTGTGTGCAAAATATTCGTTGGAAATAACAGTGTTGAGTGGTAACGTTCTTATACTTCCTACACGAATGAAAAATGCCAAATTAGGCTCTTCAAGACAGTACTTCCTGGTTTATATAACTGGATTTGCTCCCAATAGGACAATCATCAAAGTAATACAAATCCAACCTCACTTTCCACCTAATTCTTTGAGCCACTATTATCCTTAACGACAACACTTGAGCAAAAAACAATCCAAAGCAGGCTTGTCATCGGCCGTCCACTCCCTCAATTCAAAATTAGCTGAAGAAGTACACCGATGAATTAGCCCCGGGCAACAATAGCGGTCTCAAGGTCATGATTTCCATCCAAAACGTCATCTGCAAACATGGATGGTAGCAAAATTTAGACCGCGAACAAATTTTTCACTCAGCGTCGCACAATTTAGCCCGAAAGTCACCGTTCGCAATTTGAATGCCAGATTTAAAAGCATAATACCAAAAATAACAACTATTGACACGAAAATTCAATAGAATTAACTGAGAAAAAGTCTTATTTCTAACGATAGTTAGAAAAAAATTAAAACACCAATCAATCAATCATAAAATAGTTAAAACTCTTGCGAAAAGAAACTTTCAGTCGTATGGCGTATCCCTAACCGAAAGGGACGTTGACTCTCAATTAGAATTACTTATACTTTTTTGATTTTCTTTCTGTTGGGCTGAGGAGCCATTATATTGTCTTCTTAATTCTATTTGTAGGGTGTTATGATGTAAGTTACTATTTATACTCTGTTTAGTGAGTAATGAAATAGTTCTCCCTTTTTTTACTCGATTCTGCTACACCTTTTTACTGCCTTACTACACTTTTGTTTAGTTGGTGATGGAGAATAGAGGTGTAGGGTTCGAGTTTTTAGTGAATTTATGAGATGAATTATTAGGTTTAGGTTAGGTTAAAGGATGCGTGGTTGTAAGAAATACAACCATTTCACTCGGAGACCTTTTGGTCCATTGTGTTCATCCTGATTAGGAAGAGATAAAAGTAAACTAAATATAGGAGAAGAAATAAAATAGCTATGAGCGAAGAAGTAAAGAAGTTAGTACGAAATTGTATAGAGAATGGAGAGTTTAAGAGATTTATGTCTACGGCGTGTTAACACATCGTCTTTAGCCATTTTGGTCGTCTGGCAAACTGAAGAATGACTGCTGGCTCAGTGTCGGAGAGGGAAGAGAAATCCGACAGTATTTGCCCACCCAGTAACTTATGTCTTGCTCCTGTGAGAGTTGGACAATGGTATAGTAAGTGTTCCATCGTCTCAGTTTGTTCCTCGTCCTGACAAAGACTGCATTATTCACTATCGTCATTACATCCCCTTCCAGATAGCCAGTTTTATTGAAATTTGCCGCTTGACTATCGACATATATAGTCACCGGTCCGTCCAGTTCATTGACTCTTTTTTCCAGCAACTCTATGGCCTTCCTGATAGCGAAAATTTCTACAGTCGTTGTTTAATTTGAAGGATCGTCGGATATTTGGACTTTCACAGTAGACTCCGGCCCCCGTTTCCCTTTCCATCTTCGATCCATCAGTTTGTTTATACTATACCGTTAAAAGGTGGAGTATCACGAGTCCAAATGTCTCTGTTAGGTATGTGAATATCAAGTGGTTCAAAGCTGTGCCTAGGTGATATATAGTCACTAGTTATAGCCTGATTTACTATACTATCCACATACTTGATAATGGCGGTGTGTCCGAATGGCTGACCCTGCCATTGACCCAGTTCATTGAGCCACAGGGTACTCCTAGCACCTTGTTCCTCTACGAGTAAACCTAACGGTTTTAAATTGAGTAGGGTGTCTAGTGCGGATTGGGGTGTGCCTGTAATTAGTAGCGATGCAACTCTTTGGACTTTATCAATGCTTTTCCTGAAGGTGGTTTTCCCTAGGGAATGCCACCAGACAAGCCCCCCGTAGGTTAGAATTGGTCGGACGACAGACTCATATAACCATTTGATTATGTGTGGCTTGAGACCCCAGCTTTTTCCTATGGAGTTTTTGCAAGAATAGAGTGCAATTAAGTCCTTCTTCGCTCGCTCTTCGGTATTTTCCGCTTCCTTGTGAAAAGTACCAGCTCAGTTTTTGATGGATTCACGCCAAGTCCATTGCAGCGTGCCCATCTTGAGGGTTTAACTAGAGCTCCCTGTATAAGATCTGAAACAGTCTGGGGAAATTTCCCATCAATCAGCAAGACAACATCATCGGCGTAAGCCACGACCTTTGTCCTACCTTGTTCCAGTTCGATTAGAATTTTGTTTATCACCAAAAGCCAGAGTAGTGGTGATAGAACCCCTCCTTGCGGGGTGCCCTAGTAACAGATTTCCTGACAGAACACTCCCCGAAGCTTGAGTTGATGATACTGCTGCTGAGCATGGCATCAATCCAATCAATTAGGAGTGGTGGTATACTAAGTTCTACTAGGGAACTGTGAATTGCCTCGAGTGTGACTTCTCTCCATAATAATGGAATGTGAGAAAGACGCAGACAAGCTTTAAAGATCGCCTCCAGAATTGGTAATATCACCGTCGATGCATGCTGCAGAATGGCGGGAATAATGCCATCTGGTCCCGGCGACTTGAAAAGCTTGAATGAATTAATAGCCCACAAGATTTTGGGAGCGCTTATGATCCTCTCAGTCAGACTAACATCCTCCACCCCAAGATGCTGACTAGACCGATCTAACAATTGATCATTTACCGCATCGGATCAGTTCGGAAAGTGAGCATTGGCTAACAGGTTGAGTGTCTCTAGACCAGAGTCAGTCCAGCTGCCGTCATCCCGCTTTATGCAACCAATGGAATGAATTTGGGGTCCTTTGGAAGCACTTTACGGAATCTGGATGCTGCGTTGACGTCTTCTATGGACTCAGTAAAGCAAACCCCAGACCTTCGTTTGGCCTTCTAGATTTCACTGTTGTACTTGTTGAAGGCTGATTTGTAAGCCTCCCAGTCCGTACCCAATCTGGTCTTGTTGGCCCTATGGTAGAGGCGTCTGCTTATATTCCTGAGCTGGGCTAGGTCTTTCGACCACCAGGCAGGTTGACACCTTTTCCCCGGGAAGGTAAGCGGGCAAGCTTTTTCATAGCTCCCAGTCAGGATTCACATCAGAGGCGGATTCTACCGGTAGATATCCAGTAGATCTAAGCTTCCATGCAGTGTGCTCCGAAAATTTATCCCATCGAGCCTTTCTCGGGTTCCTATGCGGTTTTTGATGCAATCCCTCTACCAATAACTGGAATGTTATCTTCCGATGATCCGAAAAGGAACAATCTGCCGACACTTTCCAGCTCAGTATGAGTGACCTCCTCCCTATTCTTATTTTGAAAAGTCGCCACATTTCCCCTGTAACATATTTTAAGATTATGAGTTCAAATAAAATAAAAAATGGACTAACTTCTTGCGTTTGTATTTTTACTGCCCCATTGAAAATGGTGTGCGTTAGCGTCACATCCAACGACGAGACTGCCTTTACTTCCCAGCTCCGTGAACAGCCTCTCTACTGCTTCGCCTGGCGGGTCGGGGTACTCAAAGGGTAGGAAGATGGAAGCAAAAAAAAAAAAAGAGTAGCCTTCCGTCTCGTGCTTCCATCTTAAACGTCGTAGCGTCTCCTCCGCTGAAATTATTGAGGAAGATTAAATTTAGGTTCTTTATAGCGACGATACACGTTCGACTAGGCCTCCCCCCTCCGTACTTGAGCCGACTAAACGCAAGCTTTCCGTGTTGAGGTTGGGATTCTGCTTTCTTAATATTGTCAGCACGCGTGTCGGATCCACTGAGGGTGGTGGCACCCATGCTGCCAATATTCTCCTGCAGGGAATTTCCTTTAGGGATACAGCAGCAAGTGCACTTCCATCCCAAAGGCCTTGAAAGCCAGCTACTGCGGTCACGAGGAAGTTTTTGGACACTTCGTTCTCGCAGCAGATGACCTTCTAGGGGGTTGCGGCCAATGAAGCTTTTACAATACCTCACCGACCGTTTGTAGCCCCTCCTTGCTTTACCCTCTTTCGATCCGGAGTCGTCGCGGTTGGTAGAGGCACTAGTGCCTCTTTCCACGACGCCTTCATTGACCCGGAGGTTTGTAGCATCGGTTTGTTCCAATGAAGTCCCTTCTTCGATAAATGACCGCGTTCCGTGTCGATGCCTCCGAAGAGGCAGTTGAATTAAGGCATGGTTTGTTTTTGTAAATTCGTTCTCCATATAAAAAAGTTGGACGTTGGAGGTGATGAGGTCCACCATGACATAGCCTCCATATCATGTAAAGGACTTGGCAATAAAGCCTAATACTCGTCGAGGCGCCCAGGAATCGATGAGGCAACCGTTCAAATATAGTCGGTACCCTGACTGCAACCCTTGGGACACTGATGGGCAGGGTTTACGTAACACCCCGGTGTTAGGGAGTCCGTTGCGGTCGACCAGTCCGTTGACTGAATAGTCGCCTCGTCGAGTCCAGGGATCATAGGCACTCGGGTATTTAGCCCGAGACTCTCCCCCCAGAGACCGCTGAGCTGTCCGCGACTGCTTACTTAATTCGCAGCTGCCCGATATATCTATCGGGCGTCCCACTATCCGCAACCTGTGGACGCGTCCGGTAGCACTCAGCTATGCTTCCACAAGCGGCCAAATAAATTATTATTAGGTTTAATATGTTATTTGTTAAGTTTTAATTAAACATTGCGTTTGTATTATATTAGGGCATTGTAGATAGATTCTTGTAAGCTAAATAAATGAAATTAAATTGGATATATTGCCGTCAATCCGACAAAAACAAATAAAATCAAAAAAGTTAACCAAATTAGACGAAAAGTTGTAAAAACTTGTAGAAACAATATAGATTCCCTTAAAAAATCAACAAAAATATATTTAAATGACGAGAATAAGAAATATTTCATAGTTTTTTTTATATAATTTTGATTTTTTATAAGATAAATAATTATTATCA